AACGAAATAAAAAAAAAACTTTGCCAAAAATTAAATATTAGGATCTTCAGAGTTATGATGTAAATGTAAAACTATTAAATATGTTTATTTGCCATTGTTCATTAACATACATTTTATTTAGTAACCAAAAATTGATACAGAATTTGACACATAATAATTATGCGTGTAATTTGAAATTTTCAAGTTCATTGGATCTTTTTTTTCTTCACCAATCATGAAAGAGATCGATTTCTTCCTGAGTTGGTATCTGAAAATTAACATTTTGCAAAAAATATGAGATATTTCTTTACGATGTATTTATCCAAAAATAAAATGATGTTTTGCATTAATTTTTGTTCTATTAAAATTTTTTTCTTTTTTAAGAATGTCTCATTTATTGTATACAGATGAACTGTAATTGAAAATTTATTAATACTTATGGATAAGGCTTATAATACTTACATCAGTTAAAAGTGATGAAACTTAAGATTTAATCCATTTTTAAATTTTGAATTTCATGCACATTATAATATATAACTTTGAAGGAATAAACTTTTCTTAAGAGGGTAAAATATTTAATAAAAAATCTAATATTAAAAATTTTGAGAGAGACCGAAAATGGTTTATGTTCAAATGCTAAAAAGCAGTGAAAATGAATCAAACCGTAAGATTATATATCAATTTGAGGTCAAAAAATAATCCAAAAATCCAAATATTTGAATTTTAAAATTGATTCCACGAATATATGCTTGAATTGTTGAAATTCAAGATATAATTGACAGATGAATGTTGAAAATGTTTCACCATTTTGTCTTCATCACATTCTTCGTCATAATCATCAAAATTGCTGGTATCGCCAGTGGATTGTAATTTTGGGATGATTGGCGGCTGAAAGTAATTTTTCCCCGAAATTTTATCGTCAAAAAAATTTCATTTCATTTCTCCTTGTCACAATACATAATATGAAATGAAATTAGGCATTGGTTAGAGTATAAAATCTCTTTTCGAGATATTTTTATTACATAAATCATTGAGATTCCCCCTCCCTTCCTTATTTTCAAATATTTTGAAAAGCGCCTGCCTCTAAATGATAATTTATTACTGCTTTATTTATCTTCTACCTATCAATAGTTTCTTAATAATTTTCAATAAATTATCAAACGATATCGTAGTGAGCAAAAGAAGATTGTAATTTAATTTATGAGTTATTTATGAGTTACAAAAAGTTTATATAAATTATTTTACAGCGCGAAATGCATTACCGTTATTTTCATATTGATAACATCATCCCATATTATATCATTAAACCATTTATGAATTTTGATATCCTCAGCACCGCCTTCTAAATTACCTAATCGTTTTGCGGGATCTGATTGGAGCAGTTTCTTTATGAGATCTCTGAAAATATTTTTTTTTCTGAAAAAAAAAAACGAAATTATATTTTAAAAAATTAAAACGAAGTATGCAAAAATTAACAAAAGTTGCTGCAAATTGCTCACTAAAAGAAATTATTGACACCAAATTCCTCAGTATGAAATGAATATACATTGTTATGAAACTAAAAAGATATTTCATGATAGTTTACACCTTTATAAATATACTTTAAACAATAAAATAAGATTCATTAATTGTTACAACAGCATAGACAGACATTAAACATTATTCCGTCAAGTAATAATTTTGGTATAATTCACCAAAAATTTTAAAGGCTTACATTTTTAAATGAATTAATTTAGCTGAAAATAATGAATAACAAAATGTTTACTTTGTAAAGAAATCCATACTTCTCGGGAAATCTACCCGATCGGTCATAATTTCCTCATAAATGTCTGTGAGTGTATCGCCTTGAAATGGTGGTAGCCCAGCGAGCATCTCATAAATAAGAATACCCAATGACCACCAATCGACAGCTTTATCATAACCTTTACCATCGGTCACTTCTGGTGCCAAATATTCCGGCGTTCCACATAATGTATTTGTCCTGTATCGTATTCTTAATTAAATATTACTTACTTCCAAAAGTTTGGAATCATTTAGTGAGTGAAAATTTTTCAATCTTACTTTGTAAAATTTAAACTGAATGAAATGAATTCAATTTTGAGCTTATTCCATCCTGCATTTGATTCTCTCTTCTTAGCTTGTTTATGGAGTTATCTGATATGCTGAACTCTGATCCCAACTTTTTATTTCTTAACAGCTATTGATATCAAAATTCCTAGCCAAATATTTAAGTATTAACTTTCAAAAAATTTGAAAAGCCAACTTGTTGTCGATAACTTTAGCAAATCCAAAGTCGGTTAACTTCAAATGGCCAATTTTTGTTAACATCAAATTTTCAGGTTTCAAATCACGATAAGCCTAAAGTATAAATCAGTTGAAATGGAATATTAATGAAAGATTTGTTCGATTCAGTCTATTTGGAATTTATCTTGCAAACCAATTTTTCCTCCAGCTAATCCACCTGAAATTGCAAATCTTTGAACTCAGCTACTTAACGAACTAAGCAGCTGAGTTCAAAGATTTGCAATTTCAGGTGGATTAATTAATAAACAATAGTTAGTAAACAATAGTTGTTTTAATTAATAAACAATAGTTGAATTTGAATTCTGCAAATTTAATAATAAACTAACGATATTTTTAGAATGCAAAAATTCCAATGCTAATATCACTTCGCATGCATAGAATCGAGCGGTTGTGTCAGGAAATCGTTGAACATTTCGCAGATAAAAAAATAGCTCACCACCGGGGATATATTCAAATAAAATATACAAATTTTGCCCATCACATTTCGAACTATACCTATAATTTTTAAATTAAATTAGTGCTAAATCATATTTTCTAATCAAATAGTTTATTGTTTGAGAAAAATATTTAAATAATTTTTTGAAGTCATCTCATATTTGAAAAATACATTTTTTTGATTGAGTACAATTATTCCGATCTTGATCGAAATGCCATCAATCTATCATTCAGGAATATTATCCGTGAAATATTTCATAAGTCATGTTATCTTTCAACACATTTTCCTTTAACATTGACTTTTTCATCCCTTCTTCTTGACCTCTTTTAGATTTTGAAAAAAAAAAATGAAAAAAATTGTAAGTGAAAAGCATACATTTTAACGATGAAAGGATGTGTAAGTGAAGCCAAAATTTTCTTCTCGGAAAAAACGTGATTTATTTGCCGTGTTAAAATTACTTTACTGATTGACATTTTTTTAAGCGCATAGTAATATTTTTTAGTATTATTATCACGTGCCAAGTATACTCGACCAAACGATCCGGTTCCTTTAAATTGAAATTTTTCACATGTTGGATTAAATTAAAAAGCACGAGTTAACAAATTTAAATTTGTAAAATATTATGAAACTAAATTACAAAAAAAATCTTACATGAACAACATTAATAGTATATTGGATTAATAAATAATGATGGAATGCTGTTGGATATGATATGCTCATTTAGCTTTTTTTCTTACATCAATTTCAGATAGAAAAAAATGAATTTACATGTAAATATTTTGATTTTAATTTTATATTTATATTGTAAAAATTTTGCTAATTATTGGAAAAATAAAATTTTCCTTTTTTTTGTTTAAATGTCCTAAATTGTACGAATTTCGAAATGAACTGAATGAAATTTCTTTAACGCATTATTTTCCTTTTTTCGGTTTCAATTTTTTTCCTTTTAGCTCAAAGTCAAACAAAAATGTTTTTTGCCAAAAAAACGAAAAAGCTTTTTATGCTTTATTCAATTCCACTTTTAACTTGTTTTAAGTGTAAAAATGCAGAAAAGAAGACCAAAAGACATTATTTGTTTTTTGAATAAAATGGCAGAATGGTGTGTGAAAATAACAAAATGCATCTGTCATTTTTTTGAAGAATTTTCAGCTTGCACTTTTGTTAGCTTTCAAATAGTTCGAAGTTTATTAGCAAATGAGGGGAAAAAACATGAAACATTGCAGTAATTTTTATATATTAAAAATATTGCATTGTATTCAAATGTAAAATAAATCTATAAGCGAATATTATTTTCGATCAATCAATTAAACCATAGGTTATATAATATGATTTCATTTTATAAACTTTAAGTTATCATATATTAAAGCAATTTCAAAATTATAAATGTTTATTTATACTAAAGTTTAAAGTAAAATCAAATTCTCAGCATTTATTTACAAATCTAACGATGTAATATTTGTTTAGTGCAGTTTGTTTTGAATGTTTAATGTTTATTTGCTCATTTGCATTCTTATCTTTTACGTGTTTATTCCTCCAATTGTTTAGTTAATATGCAGGTAAATTTCATAAATTGATATTTAAAAACTGTTTTATTCCAAAAAAAAATTTTATCTTACACAATTTTAAATTTTAATTACTTTCTTTCTAATTATTTTGTGTTTTAACAAAAAGAAATTAAATAAATTATCCTGGTGCATTTAAAAAAAAAAATTTTTACAACTAACTTTTAAAATTGAATTCTGTGGAAAAATAAGTTTTAAAAATAAGTTTTAAATCATTTAAGGAATAAATTTCAAAATCTTACCGATAGTTTGCATGCGTTCTACAGCATCGATGCTAACCGATATTGCTGAATCATCGTCCGGTTCGGTTTTATTATCTACCATATTCGTGTCGATAGCTAATTTGTTCTGATTACCGTTGAGCTTCAAATCTTTGATAAGCGAACAATAGAAGAAATTAATCATTTCAGTTGTCTTTTATACCAGATCAACAATTATTTCTCAATATTTTATCAGATAAAAGATGACAAATTCGAAATTTAAAATTTACTGAACTAAAACTTTCCAAAATTATTTACTGCGAAGCTATGCTTGTTATATAAAATTTCGAAGTAATATTAGAAGATAGCAGACTCATAAACAATTTTTAACTTTCAAAATGCTTATTTTTTTCTTTTCAGTAATTTTATTCATTCAATGCGTTGTAACCAACAGTTGCTTCAAACAGATGTAAAGTATTTCAATAATATCTACTTAAACAGTTAAAATTTTTAGTCGAATTTCAAAAGAAACTTTGTAAAAACTCAATTTACTAGTTAAAAATATCATATAGACAACGAGATTAGTTATAAAATCTTAAATTAATTTTTGAAATCTGTTTTGTTTTCTTTTTTTACATTTCTTCCACTTTTCCAAAAAAAAAAATAATTGAGCCAATTAACTTATCGAAAAAGAATGAAAAATAGAATTCCACGATAATAATAATAATAATAATATTCATCACCAATATCAAAGAATTATTTTCAAAATAAATTTTTTGTTTCTCACAATGAGAGCTTTATACTTATCATCTCCAGATCTGAAATATTGCAAATTGGGCTTGTCTTTTCCAAAGATATAAATCATAAGAAATATAAATAGATAATAATTTTAATTCATTTTACTTTAAATAAATTTTTCTCTTTTATAATTTTTTCCAAATTCTTTTGTATTCATAATCAGTACTAATCATCAAAGACCACTTATCAATATACTTGTAAAATAGTTATCACTAAACGATCAAGATAAGTGTATTAGCTTTTTACCGTTTAAGGAAGTAAACGAGCAGAAAAAAGTTCTAAGAAATAAAGCAGAAAAATTTTACAAATCGAAATTATCCAAAATTTAAACTTCCTTTTTTTTTCATTTTGTGCTGTTTTTTTTTTACACTTATTTTGCTCTCCTTTTTATTTCGAAGAAAAAGATGAAAATTCATTGGAATTAAGTTACATCACGACAAAATAAATGAATTGCTTACTAATATTTGAAAATTAAATATATTGTCTTGTAAAAGTAAAAAAGAAAATCAATTAACTGAAGTGATTATATTTAATGATATTTCCAGTTTTAATGATATTCAAGACTTCCGAAATGAGTGATTGTTCGATTAGAAATTCATCTTTCAAATTTTATAACTACTTCTTTAACTATACTTGAATTAATAATATTTATGCAATAAAATATTTATGCCATAAATATTTCGAATTCAATTATGTCAGAGGAAATTAACATCATTTTGTTTGCTCAATGCTATTGTATTTAAATTTTTTAATAGAATTAAATAAAACTGATATCTGCATTTATAATCCAAAAAATGAAACCAACAAAAAATAATTATAATTATAATTGAACTTTCAAATATAATTAGAATTCAAAAAAATTATCTATAAATTTTTAATTTAATGAATAAAGAAATGATAAAAATCACTTTCTAATTTCTAAGCGAAATTAAAATTGAAAATATGATTGGCATATGCATTTAAAATTTATAATAAATAAGGAAATGAAAATGATAAAATGATGGAAAATATTTTAGTAGAATGAAACAAGAGATGAAGTTAGCCATATTGATGCTCTAATCTCTTATCAATCATTATTTGAAAAGCGAGCAGGAAAACAGATCGAATATCTGCTTTTGCTATTCCATCCATTATGAAGTATATTACAAACTTATACAGTTAATTCGAAAAATTTGCATAAGAACAGTTCAATACTATGATGAATAGATTTGTTATATTTTAACTTAAGTTTAATATGAACATAACATGTGCATAAAATAAATAAACATTTTATGAAATTGCAAAAATATGTTGAAATGAAATCAAAATAAAATGGAAAATTTTTTTGAAGTAAAATTATATGTATTAATACTACATGAAAAATTAAATTGGATAAATTTTTTCAATTACTATAGGAAATTTTTTTTTTTTTNTGAATTACAGCAAAGGAATGATGAAAAGTCAGTCAAAAAAGAAATAAAAATTAAACGAATTTTTTTATTGCTTTATTTTGGTGAGATTAATGCGAAATTTTTTTTTTATTTTTAAATTTTATGAAACGAAGATTGAGTGTTTTATTTTGCATTATTTGAGAGAACATTAGATTTAAAATGTTGATATTATTTCGCAAAAGCGATATGACTATTTATTAATTTTCCTCAATTTCAAGATATGGAAAAAAGGATGATCACTACGTAGTTGTCTCCGATATAACTTTAAAGAAAAATCGATATCTGCTAAGCGCAGGAAGCTAATTTTCAAATTTAAACTTTTTATTTCATATCTTTTATCTTAAAGTTCTCTATAGGATGCTATAATTGGAAAAAAGGCTTAAGTTGTTTGTCGCACCGCAAAACAAACCGAAGCCATAGCAAAGCTTATCTCAAGAGTCATATATGTCAACATTTCAGCACTTCATAGCTTTGCTTTTTTCTAAAATTATTAGAAAAAAAATTCATTACGCCTCAAATATCATATTAATAATATATATTATTTGTAGATTGATCCAAAACTCTAAAAATCTTCATATTTCCGTAGGCAGTTAAAGCTTGAAAAAAAAGAAAAATTTTTTTCATTAAAGCATAGAGCTGAAACTTGTAGAAAAAAAACTTATATTCATTAAAACAGGAAATTGAAAGCTAAAAAAAGGACTTAAATGCTTGATTTGAAAAAAAGGTACGTAAAAATTATTTAGCTCTTTCCATTAAACTTAGTTCCCATATTTTAATGTGAAATCTAATAATCACTTCAAATTCACAGCATTCAGAATGTCTGAAATTAATAAATTACTTATGAAACACAACAGACATATACATTTCAAAACAGAATTAAACAAATTGATTGAGGGAAATGAATAGTTTTAGACTTTAATAATAATCTATTTAAAATGATATCAATCAACCATACATTCACATTATCGTCATAAATTATCACAAAATTTTAGCTTATTTTCCGAAAAAAAAACTTAGCACACAAAAAAAAGTTATATTTCATTTTATCAATCTTTTCGGCCCAAATTATTTTGCTAACTTTATTCATTAATCTATAAATATCGTTGTTATCATTTTCGATCAAAGAATTTTCCTCACTTATTTTTGTCGATAAAATTGTAATGTAGCAGAAAGAAGTTAAAGTTATAAGAAACTGACGAAATAGGCATATCTATTTTTAAATGATGAAAAATGAAAAAAATTAAGAGAAAGGACTTGGTGGATGATAAGAAAAAGAAATAAAGAAATGCCATAATAGCATAGTTTCGATGTAATTAGAGCTCTTTGAAAATTGGAAAAAAAATTGCTTTCCTTTCTTTTTTTGTTGTATTTTTCCGATATCGAATATTTTAGACTTTTTACAAAACATTTAAACAAATATTTGAATTGACTGGAGTTCTTCA